TTATTTAATACACGAGTTTCACAATTTGAGTTGAATTACTGAAATAAATGAACTTTTCCATGACATTCTAATTTATTGAGATGCACCTGTATATTGATCTGTAGGCTTGTTAGTGTTAAAGGCGTGATTTGTTTTCGGCAGTTTAAACGTTTCTATATTAGCAAGGGTTTCTTTTGTTTTGTGATTCTGTGATTCCTTTGTTGGATGGAAAGGGCAGGTGTTGTCTAAAACACATTGCTGGCAAAAACCTGCATTGCAGCTGTTGCTTTATGGTGTCAGTAGAAGTGGTTCTTGATGGGTGTTGAAGGGGTGCGTGTAACACAAAAGCATCGCCCTCCTGTTCTGCTCTAACATATAGGCCTACAGCAAGGTGTTCACTACACTTTACAGAGCCTGGGACAACATTTCAGCCCACTTGGGCCCATTGAGTAAGCTATCCTATATAGATGACCTTTGGTGGCCCTCGGCAATGGCCGTGGCTTTCAGTAAATGACAAATTATGAATGGAAGCTTTTTCTTCAATAACACCAACATTGCTACTTGGGGTTGTATGTTTTAGCATAAAGATACATTTGAACAAAATACTGTACAATAAAAATTTGCTTCTTAAGTGTTTTAGGTATGAAAGACTATCATATTTGATGATTATATCAAGCTTTTGCCCGTCCAGTCTGCTATATGATGATGCTTGAGTTAGAGTCGGATAGGCCTACTGAAAACCTCACAATGAATTCAATATTATATGTATATTAATGATTATAGACTAATTAAATCTGTCATCACCAAATATAATTTATTTACTTACTGACAGGGTTGCTGCTGAATTGGGAATTTCTTCATTGCCATGGAGAGGAGTGATGATTCATATATAGTATTTAAGTACGTATACCTGCTCTCAATGCTCTTTTGTGAAATTGAACACACACATGCAGTTCCGAAACCATACAAATGTACATTATTTTCTGTGTGTGTGGGCGTATGTATGCACACACACACACACACACAAAATAATGTACATTTAGTAAACTATCCCCCGGTTTCACAGACATGGCTTAAGGCTAGTCCTAGACTAAAATGCATGTTTGAGCGGTCTCAACTGAAAATATCTTGCTCTGACATATCTTAAAATATGTCAGTTCCATTTTCCAGTTCCAAAAGTCAGTTCCATTGTTCTGTCTCAAGATTCACACATGTAATGTTTTCTTCTAAGGCATTTTTATAAAAGCTGCTTAAATATCTTAATTTAACTAAGGCCTAGTCCTGGCTTAAGCTAAGCCCCGTCTGTGAAACCAGGCCACTATGTTGTGGTATATTAGCCTCACATTAAATTACAATTTACATTATAGTAAAAGCTGATGTAAATTGTATTTTCCCACTTTTGGAAAGTTGTGAAAATGCAATAGCTTTTTTTTTTTTAGATCATAAAATTTAAAAATAATCATTTCTTTTATTCTCTCAGTATCTCAGTATATGCAGAGTATATATCTATACAGTATCTCACAGAAGTGAGTACACCACTCACATTTTTGTAAATATTTTATTATATCTTTTCATGTGACAACAGTCAAGAAATGACACTTTGCTACAATGTAAAGTAGTGAGTGTACAGCTTGTATAACAGTGTAAATTTGCCGTCCCCTCAAAATAACAACACACAGCCATTAATGTCTAAACCGCTGGCCACAAAAGTGAGTACACCCCTAAGTGAAAATGTCCAAATTGGGCCCAATTAGCCATTTTCTCTCCCCGGTGTCATGTGACTCAGTGTTACATGGTCTCAGGTGTGAATGGGGAGCAGGTGTGTTAAATTTGGTGTTATCGCTCTCACTCTCTCATACTGGTCACTGGAAGTTCAACATGGCACCTCATGGCAAAGAACTCTCTGACGATCTGAAAAAAATAATTGTTGCTCTACATAAAGATGGCGTAGGCTATCCCATTTTCACCTCAAAATTATGGGGAGGCTGTGCCTCCACTGCCTCCCACGACGAGCCGCCACTGGTCATTTCTTCAGTGTTGTCACATGAAAAGATATAATAAAATATTTACAAAAATGTGAGGGGTGTACTCACTTCTGTGAGATACTGTATGTATCTGTAGGTTATTTCCGCATTCAGAACATTTGGTAATGTCCATTCAGTTTCTATCTTCTCTTTATCTGTAGGATATATGTATGGTTTATGTTCTTTATCATCACTAACAACTCAAATCACATCAGCACACGTGCTCGCACTCATGCAGTATCTTAACACTGCCCAACCGTTGTTCTTTCAGAATCTTCGTACCTATTGTAACCTTTGGGTTTTTCTCAATCTGCTGTGCTGGCTTCTGTAAAATATTCCAGCGGGTTCGTAAGGAGCGCGTGGAGCGTCTGCAGGCTCAAGCTCGAGCCGTGGATCAACGGTCCGTCTACGTCATTCCAATCTCTCTGTCTGAAGATGAGCTGCACAGACCACCGCGCTACAGCACTGTACAGTTCTACGAGCCGCCTCCTGCTTATCACGAGGTAACCCTGAAGATAGTGTGGAATGTACTCTAAAAACAATTCAGTGGCTTTGTAAATATCACAGTAATAACTAAGTTCATTATTATTAATAAGTTCACCCCAAAAAATTTAAAGTCTGTCATCATTTACTCACCCTCAGGTTATTCCAAACCTGTATGAGTATCATTCCTCTGTTGAACACACACACACACACACACACACACACACACAAGATATTTTAAAGAATAAGTCTGACTTTCATAAAATGAAAAAAATACTATGAAAGTCAATTGGGACCATTTACAAAATATCTTCTTTTGTGCTCAGCAGAAGAAAGAAACTCATTCGAGGGAACAACTTGAGGGCGAGTAAATGATTACAGAACTTTAGTTTCCTAGATTGTTTTGAGTTGGAAATACCAAATACCAATGCCTAAAATTCGTTTTTGACTAATTTTATATAAACAACTAAACTAACTAAATATACAACTAACTAAAATATACAACTAAGTATATTTTTAAGATAAACTTCATATTTTTGTTAAATTCAATCAAAATATTTGAGAAAAATTATAAAATTATAGCCTACCGACCAGTTTCAAGAACCACAATTATTACTCATTTCAATATTTTTCAGCTTTAACAACAACTTAATGTATGTGTGCTATTGCTTGATAACAATTGTACATTTTTTAACAGCTACATTTTTAATGTATCCAAATGAAATAACTTTGCTTTACTCATAAATATTGGTTTTAAATTGGCTTACTCAAATGTGTGAGTCAAATTCACTTATTGGGTCTTATAGTGTCCTCAATTTTATTTGTTATGGTACCAAAAGTAGTTATTCTTATCTACTTCATTTTTTCACTCGCATTTATTCAGTTCATAAGGTATATCAATTCATTGATTTCACAACTTTAAAATGTACTCAATATGTTAAAGTGTAAAAGGTTTCACCCCAAAAAAACAAAAACAAAAAAAAAATCAGTACATTAACTAAGTTGTCTACACCATTTA